ATTGCTGTTTATCTGAGGTACACCATGGTAATGATGGGAGTTAGAGAGGAGATTTTCAAGTGCATTCTGTAAAGACCCAGATGTAAGGCTTTGGGAGTCAGTGCTGAAATGAGAACTTCTGTCATTTGCTCTAATGTCAGTGATGAATGCTACCAAAAATCTCACTTGAAAACTCTCCTATCAAATTCTGCATGCATTTATCTCCAGCAACTGCAGTCAGAGTAACTGCTAGACACTAGAGAGGACAAAATCTTGAAAAGCTGTTCTTTGTGTAGCTGCCTTAGCCCACTGGTATCCTACATGTTTATCATCCTGTTACAACACTGATTCCCAAAATGTGCAGAGCTGTGGTAGGATGTTGGGGACGGTCAAGAATATAAAACTAGACACCTTTCTGATGATGGCCTACATTCAGCTTTTTATTGCTTCGTCCAGTATATCGCATCTTGGTCTCACACATCTGCACTGACACTGTCTGTAGAATCTTACATACCAAAATTATTCTTAGCTCTGTTATCTATAATTTATTACCAGCCTTCACAGATGATTGGATGTTCACTTCTTATTTACAATCTTTCTTTGCTGGTCATGCTCCATGGCCTTACTGTATCTCCCAACACAGAGCACTAAGTCAGAGGACGAAAATAGCCATGGGAATGAGCTAACATTCTGAGCTGTAGCTCAGAAAGTGTGAGAGATATTAAGCTTTAGATACTTAAGGTTCGTATAGAAAAATCACTCTCAGTCCCAAATGGAAACTAATTGCATGTAATTTCCAAGTCTGCATCTAACCAACCAAGAAAAACAGACACTGGACTGTTGAGCGATGGCTCTGCAAGGTTCAGATGCAGTGAGATGGTGCAGAGGGAACTAAAGGTAGCTCTCAAAAGTAACTTAGAGGTATAGGATTGTATGATGTTTATATTTGCACCTTACTTTCATCTTACAAGTGTCCACTTGTGTGTGGCTTTGGGGCAGCTCTTGCTGCAGGGATAGTCTGTTTTACAGAAGACTGTGCTGCAAAAGCACAACTGTAACTTCACTTTTCTCTGAGATTCTTGGTAATTTTGGTCATTTCTTGAACAGGTTTTTGTTTAACCTAATGACTAAGAATGGTTTTTCCCAAAAAGTATCTTTATTTGTATGTAAATAAGGGTATTCATGCAAAGCCAAGAGTGCTCTTCAGTTACTTCTCCAAATTATTTTTTAAAATATTTCAGTGAGGAGGAACAATGGCATTCCCTCTCCAAGAGGACAATTAACAATCACACAAGACAAACAGTTTGCATGCAAACAA